CCATTCCATGATTCTATGATCCCTCCAGAGTTCTCCCATCCTTTGGTCTTTAGTTGCTTATGAATAGTATTTAGTTGCAGTTCAGCATCACATAGACACTTAGGCGTTAATACAAGTCTCTTAAGCAGGTGTCACAAATGCTTCTCAAAGCTTCATACTGTTTGTCTCCAACTCATTTTCTCTAACTGTCAGCATGTGGGACTCTCCTTCACACTGCCTGCATTTTTCAATGTCTTCTTTGAAATACAGGCTCCAGAATGGGGTAGAACAATATAGTACTAGACCCTCCACCAATGCCCTAAAGAGAGGCTGAAGTAATCTCTTTCCTGCACCTCACTACCTGCCTGCTGTTGTATATAACAATAACAAGAGCTCTTTTTGCCTCAGGGTTTGCACTGTAAATCCACAGTGAGTTGTTTGTTCCTCATAAATCCTCAACCCTTTTCAGAGGTATCGTATCACATCTCGTACACATGGTCTGCATTCTAATTCTTAGATAAATCACATCATGTTTTACCTGATCAGGGGCTGCAGTTGCCACTAAAACCAGAAAGAAAAAAGAAAATTAATCAATCTTAGCATAACATTTATTACACATTCTACTTAAAACTACTACGCATCTGAAAGTGGTTGTTGCCATCACAGAACAATTTCAGATTCTAACCTCATTCCCAAATGACGCAAACTTGAAGTAATGTTCCTGAAGCAAGTGTAAAAATCAACCTGAAACCAGAATAAGATTCTATACATTGACCAATGCTTATAATTATTTTCTCAGTATTCAGCTGCCTTTTAGGTTTCTCAATTGTTTCCTTAGAAAGAATCTGAGAAACTCACAGGTTATTAACTCACTGATTGAACTTTCTTAATTCCTTCTAAGGAACGCCAACATCTGTAATTATTTTAAGGGTAAATTAATATCATAATGGTATATAAGTAACCATTAGCAAACCTGCAAGAACTTACTGTAAAAAAAAAAAAATCAAGTTTTGAAATTTGCCTTTTGTTTAAGGACAGAAGAGTAGTTCAGGATTTTTTTCCTCCACAGAAATGAATTTTTTTTGGGAAGGAGAATTATAAATTTCATAAAGTTTTTTATTTTCTCTCAAATCTCAAGTATTCCAAATGTAAACATATAAAAAAGGAATAGAAAATTTAAACGTGTATGTGTCATTACTGACTTTGAGTAAGCATAGCTCTTCAAGTTTTTTATTTAAAAAAATTACTCCTTTTTTCTCCAGATTCTGTGTTTTAAGATTTACAAGAATGAGGCAATCTTTCTAATTACTGAAGTAATATATGATACACCACTTTTTTCCACTTTGTAACACAGAAAAGCCCAGGGGTTTATGTGAGATCTTATAATCCAGCAGAGTCTGTAAGTATATTTTAATGTCTTATTTTTCTCTACAGGTTGAGTTTGCTTCTTTTTCTTTCGGAAAGCAAAACTAGAGCAGTGATTTTAACTGGGAAGTAATCCATGTCACACAGAATTTTGCAGTCAGCTGACTGAAACTCTTCCTAATAATGGCCTGACATACAGACACATAACTGCTACTTGGAAATAACCTGTTAAGTACTCAGCATCATAAGAGGGTTCTTCAGAAATGTATTTCTTCTTGTCTGTAGTTAGTTCATGCCAAGTTTGCTGCCAATGTATTTATAATAGTGCTGCTTTCTGCATTTGTTTTAGACTCAGGAAAATTTCGGCTGCTACAAGTTCTTAGAGGAGCTTGCAAAAAACAAAGTCTGAGAAAAATATCTTAGAGAAGCCAACTAATCGTTAAACAGCCCAGCAGAGAGGGGCTGATCCAACACGGTCATGCTGAGGGAGTGCACAGCTGCAGGGGTGAGAGCAGACCATGTGAGGAGGACATATGCCCACATCGGGTGGTACCAATCTACAGGAGTGTATAAAGGAAGATGGTGAAAATCCCTTAGCTTCTGCCACCCCAAATACAAGTAAATCAAAGCCTGAGTTGAGTCCTTCATTGTATGTTAGAGATTATAAATATATTTATAAAAATCTCAAACCAAATATTTACTATTTCTTATCATCAAAACTGATGAGATTAAAGCAGTTCTCCAAAGTGTATCATGTAACACAATACACTCCACAACACGGAATGCTCTGCTGTGGGAAGTGATGCCTTCTTGTCTTGCACTCTAGACAGCTACTCCTCAAAGAAACACAGCATTGAAGACACATGCACAGAAATATAGAAAGACTAAATTTTCCCACTCTCACCTTCTTGCACAGCCATCTCAGTCTCACTTTTCTGTGAGAAGGTCAGTGCCTCCACTGGCTCTTCCTTTGCTGGGAGAGGTGGAGGAGAAGTACCTTTAGCAACAGGTTGAGTAATCGGGGTCTTGCCAATGACAGGTGGCTGTACTCTAACTGCAGGGTGATGATATAGCTTGTTTCTGTGAGGGCCAGAAACCGTATAACCCATTCCACCAGGGCAGATTTCCTTAAAAGCAGCTAGATTTGGGATGGGAAAATATTCCTTTTAGGAGTCTAAAAGTGCAATATGTTGACATAGTGGAAAATATAATGACTACCACTAACAAATTTAATCTCATATTGTATATACATTTTTACAAAAAACTGCTTAAAGACAAACTATGCATTGCATGCTAATATGACTGAGCATTCTCCCAAAAGCATGTTCTGGCTGTTATTCCCAGGAAGTTGCCACTCCAGTTTACCATCTTTCTTCAGTTATGTTTAATCTATCATTATATATCAAGATAATTTTTTGTGCTACTCCTCTTCAAACAATATATCCTTTCTGAGTATGAATTAAATATGCAAATTGTAATCATCATCTACATTTCATAAGGAATGAGGATCACTATTTCTATCCTTCTCTTTTTGCAGAAACCAAAGGAAAAAAGCTCACCACCCTGTACTAGAGGACCAGAAGAATGTCAGTCAGTAACAACATTCATTCACAGGTGTCCATTTGACTGCATCAGAGGTCTCAAACCAGCCCTGCTCCAAATTCTACTGAATTGAGTAAGTCCACTGACCTCAGTGGGCTGGATAAAAACACGATGGGGATCATAAAAAGCCAAATCACCACTGGAGGAGAGGGGAAAAAATCTCATTTATAAGGCTGCTACAAAAAAAGGTAATGAAAGTCAGGCAGCAGCACCTGCTCTGATCTCTGCAGCTGCTCTACAGGAGCATCAGCTTTGCAGTCCTAGTGGAAGACTAAAAGGAAGAAGAAACACAGGTCAGTCTTCCTCCTCATCACAGATAATAGTTATCCTCCCTGCAAGGGACAGGTGGACCTTCAGGTGTCTTCAGGGGGGTACTGCTTCACTGTCCTCATTGCTCTAGGTAAAGCTAAGTTGGGATGAAACACCAAAAATCTAGTCTCCATGTTCCAGATATATATATATATGTTCTTATACCTTAAGAGATGTGTGAACTGGGGCATTGGTAAGTTCACAAATTCTGCTTTGAACACATCAGGCTTTTTAAATGAATTAGTATCTAAAATAAAACCACAAAACATTAGCTACAGGTATCCCCAGATGAATTAATTAAATTATACACTAAGTTGCAGCATGCATGAACTGCATACTGTGTTCTGATGGTGTCTTAGTGATAGCAAAGATGAAGGGTAAAACTGATTGAGTGGATTCAGAATGATGGACGGGAAACGGTGATATCAAAACTTGCCAAAAAAACACCCAACTGAGAGTGTGAATTCTGCTCAAAAGAGGAAGACAGAGAAAATTTGGGGGTTGGAACTAGATGATCTTTAAGGTCCCTTCCAACCCCACCCATTCTATGATTCTATGATTTGATGTCCCTTCAGATGCATACCCCGGATATAGGAAATCTTGTTTCAGGTCATATTCTCTCAAAGGCAGAATAGAAACGTGAACCTTATTCTACCGCAGCTCTGACACGTGCTCTCAGCAGCTGGGTATACAAAGCTGGCATCTCTCAATCTCTCTTTTGGAGCTGCTCTACTCCGTACAGCTATTTTGAAAGCTATCAGAGAGTGAGATCATGACTTTTAAATTCAGTGACTCATAAATCAACATGGGATGCTGCAGTAAATACATTACCCCATTCTGGAATATCCCACTTTCACACATTTTTCATAGAAAACTCTGAAAGATTATGAATTTAACCTGTTACAGAAAGGAACATGTTTTTAAATCATGAAGGTATCATGAAACGGGACAAGTGTTTCCCACACAGTTCAGCAGAATTTTCTACTCAATATTTTCACTCTGAACTCTTTTCATTAAGAAAAATCACTAAGATAACCAATTCCACATAATACTCAACAATGTATTTTTTAGGACTAGAGAGCAGTAAACATTGCACAAGGATGTATTCTTTGCTCCAGAATACACATAACTGGGCATAAAAAGCCTCATGCAACATTCTCAGTTGTAAAGCACCTGCATTTAAATTGAGAGTCATCTGATGAGAATATATTTTTGCTCCACTAAAAAGTCATAGAAATATTGTTCATCTGAAAGTGAACTGGGCTTTTAAAATCCTGATGAGTGATCTATAAACCCGAAGGTCACACAGGAAATCATCGCTTTAAAAATCAATTGAAAAGTTCAAAAATGTTGGTCACTTCCATTTCTGCAAGCCCAACTTAAAAACATAAGGAATCTGCTGCTCTCATCGTCTCTGATGCTAGCTGTGGATTTCTTAAAGCAGCTAGCTAGTTCTGAAAACCTGAATCTTTATAAAATACTCCCAAGAAATACATGATCTGTACCACAACAGAGCCATCTGCAGCAGCAACTTCTGTAAGTACAAAAACCTATACTAAAATACTGAACAGGCTGGACCTCATGTGTATTACAGTAAGCAATGGTGCTTGCAAAAAAGACGAATTTGACCATACATGTGGACCAAAAAAAAAATTTAATTGATTTTGACTAAAGACTCCAACTTTGGTCACTTAAATTTTACAAAAAATTGAGGAATAGAAGGTAATTGAAAGCAGTGAAAAGTATCTATAATGTGATATTTTCATCTATAAGCTGTCCAAAGGAGTGTGGTGACCAACAAAGCTGGCATTTTCCAAGTCCTTACATATTTAAAAAACAGCAGGACTCCAAGTGATCACTGATAAATATAAGTGAGCTTCATGTACCAAGTAAGGAATTGTTGAATTGAAAAGTAGCATGAAAAGTTTAACTACCAGTTTACTGTTAAGAAGCCAACACCATTCCTCAAAATGAATGGTAAAGTTACAAAGGAAGGTTAGAAAGCAGAGATACTCCCATACATATCCCACTAACGGTAATGGAAACTATATGTCGTTCTGTAACATAATTCTCAAATGCTGCCAGCCCTTCACTGGTGCCTTTAACAACTGAAGAGTATTAATTAGATGGTGGGTTAATTTGCCTGTATCTATAGTCAGAATATAATGTACAATAAATTTATCTTCACGTGATGGAAAAAATCAAAGTTGAAGACACATTCTGAGATGCAACTATTTTTAATCTGGAATTCTATCACAATTTATCAAATATATTTCCTTTGTTTTAATCCCAAATTCCTGTGAACAAAACTAGTGTATATGTAATTATTCTACTATCAGGGAGAGAACTGTCATAATTTACTGATGGACACTTCTTGTCTCAAACCAATTCTTGGTTTTTTTTTTTTTTTTGTTTTTTTTTTGAGCATGCATAACAAACACAGGGTGGGGGCTAGAGCTTGTACATTAAATGGGCAGTTCTCACCTGTCCCTGGAAGTGGACACTTCTCACAGTGCGGACCCCAGGCTTTGCCAACGCTGCAACAGCAAAGCTGCTTGCTGAGCTGAACAGAAAGAGGATGCATGCATTGCTTTCCTGCACTAACAAACCGGTAGCAGGGTCCTTTCTCCTCAGCAACTATGGGATTATCAGCTGCAATGAAAGTGGAAGAGAGGAAAGTACTGTTAACAAGGAAAAGCAAAACAGTACAACACCACTAAATTTCCAACACCAGTTAAAGTGATTAACATTACCACCTGCAAAAGTTTTATTTCAAACACGTATCTCAAGCCATAATCGCAGCATAAAAGAAAATTCTTGTTTCACATCAAACACTCCTGAATTCCAACTCATCCTAGACTAAGGATAAAGTGTATTTTAAAGAAAAAAATCCAAACCAGCAGTTGCCGTGCTGCCACAATAAGGAGTCAGAAACAGCTCTCTCACTTGTACGCAAGTCCAACTGCTGAATACTACGGCCAGTCACTGGCAATATATGGTTGTGTCAAGCTACATACCCAGCTATCAGTAGGCTATATAAATAAGACTGCAAAAAGATTAAGTATCAAACTTGACACCTGTTTTTAGAAAAGAGGCAATTATATATTTACATCTTGTTACACTTAGTTTTAAGGTGGAAGAGCCAAAGGCCGTAAGCTATGACTAGTATGAGGTAACAGGAAGCCAAGATCCACCCAGCATTCTAATTTATGCATCCACATTCACATACAGTTAACAGTTCTGGGTAAATATGTTCACTCAACTCCAAAAATACAAAGATTATCTGATTTTCAACAGGACACGTAAAAGCGAAAATGAAAATCAACTCCACTTTTTCTGGTGTTAAACTGAAAAGTGGTAAGAAATTCTTCAAAATGCTGAAAAATAAAATGTGATTAACTAGTAGCATAAGCTAATTATACTGAAAAAAATAAAGAATTCACCTATGGCTCTAGGCTATGCTTTATTTTATAAATCTAAAGATAGCTCAGATAAGGAAATTAGGAAATGAAGTATTTTTCACTTGTAAATATGCTTACAAAAAAAATTAGTGAGAAATCTAGCTGTTCCCTATGCCTTCTTTTGTTCTTGTGGAGGAAGTTGATCTCAAACCAAATAAAAGGTGATTAACAGAGGAAAATATTTGCATTCATGCTGTTCACAACTTCTACTTTCTCCTAATTATTTCTTAATTTTTAATCCTTCTTAATCAGAAGGAAAATGTGCCAAAGATCTTCCTGGGCTGAATGTTTAGCAATAGAAACTACCCAAGTCAAAGCTGCAGAGGTGGAAGAGGGGAGGGCAGGACACAGATGATTTTGGCTGGGAAACTAGCAGAGAGGGGAAAAACAACTGTGGGACGGAGAATTTCAGGCTTGTGAGAAACAGAGCGTGACGAGGCTAGATATGGCCTTGAAGGTTTTGTGACAAGAAAATCCGTAAAAGATGGCAGGGATCCTGGACAGCCACTGGAGACCAAGGCTTCCAGGCCAGAGAGACAGAAAAGAGGCATGAGCACTGAGACTGACGAAATAAAGTGAATAAACTGAGAAAAGGAGGCAAGGACAGCAAAAAAGATGTGGACAGCTTAGAAGAGTTGGGGCCAATCAAATAAATTCTCATTTAAAGTGCAACTAAGTAACTATTTTGGTACTTTGATTAGCACTGTTACTTACGTATGCATCGTGAGAGGGTAGGATCTGGCACAAAACCCATTTTGCAGGTACATCTGTAGCTGCCCATGGTATTCAAGCATTCGCCATTAGGGCATACTCCCTGTAACTGACACTCATTGATATCTGTGGGGAAAATTAAAAATAATCAGATACTGAAACATGTATTAATATACTTCTTTCTTCAGAAGTTATCTTTTTTTAATACGTGCAGAAGAACTGTTACGAGTCAACACTCCAATCAACACTTTTGCCCATACTGACAACATCTGACTTTTATTCTTTTAAAACATTACTGAGAACATAACAAAACCAATTACATTTACACATCGTTCTCAAGTACTCTGAATTACAAAACAAATACACTTTGACTGGCTTATCAACCACTCTGTTCCTGACTAGATGATTGCTTGCAGAGTCCAACATAACTCACAAGAACATTCACAGATACAAGTTTTAAGCAGTGTAAGATATTTTATACAGGATGGAACACTGCTTGACACATTTAATACAGTTTTTATTGTTACTGGTATTCAGTAGTGCCTGGAGGTTCATTGTGCTGGAAGAAGCACAACACAAAAATACCATCTCTAGCCTAAAGAGCTTACCATCTTAGTAGCAAGAATATGCTTCAGGAAGCACAGAACACATGTGATGTGGGGTGAAAAGGATTGCATCCATGGGAACACAAGTTTGCAAAAATTAACAACTGCTTTGATAAAGTTTGCTGTTACGAAGCTACCTGCATCAGTGTCCCTTTCAGGGTCTCACTGAATTATTCTCCCAAGCACTGGGCCTCAGGCCTTTATCACACTTGGGGTTGTATCTATAATTCACTTACTCTTAGAATAGGACTGTCTGACAATCATCTGGATACCATCTGTAACTAAGTCAGCCAAACCAAGATTTTATTTCAGGAAACAGTAACAATGTAACTTACAATGATAATCAAAACTTTAAAAAAATCCCCAACACCAAACAAACCCCAACCCCAAACCTATAATAGTCTCCGTCATAAACTGTCACATCTCCTCTTTCAGAAAAATAAAGGCAGCACACTGCAACAGACCTACTGTAAAAGGTTTACGTGCATTATTTCTACATAAGACTTTCCCTCCCTGTTCCTTAGCTAGGAAAAAATGCTATCTTGCTGGGTAAACAAGCTTCAAGTGGAAATCCAATATTCCAGCTGGCTCCTGGGATATCAGGTATTAGTGATAATTTTATCTAAAATATATAGTATTTATTACCTTACTTCTTAGTTTTTATAAAATCTTCACCATTTTATTTGACCTCAGTGTATGTTGCTGCCCAATTCAACAGAATCAATGAGGGTAAGAATTTGAATAAAAATGTAACAGATATGGTGGAGTTTGCTTTTGGAAACCTACAGAAAGAATCTTTCACGTTCCTAACGTCTTAATTTTTCTCCAAGTTCAGCTACCCGTCCCACTACGCAGCAGTGCACGACTTCAGCTCTCAGTACAGCAGACTCTAGCAGTTGCCATGTCAGCTGTGATTTTTTCCAAGCATGCAATGTTGAGTTATCCCTCAGCTCTCACAATGCTGTACCTAATCTAGTATCTTGACACCACCTGGATCAACTTCACCTCTATGCACTTAGCCACATGTGACAGAAAGGGATAATTTATATCCTATAACTTCGGATGAAATGTGATGGAAACCACATGAATTCCAAAGGATCAGTTCTGCCTCAAAGGAATTTCTCAGTGAAATTCCCAGACTACATGACTTTCCGACCTCAGAGGGAGTGGACTATTTAAAAAGGAGAATGGTATAAGAAAAGTGCACAAAACCCTGCTGAAACATTCTCCTACAGCACTCTACCTTTCGACCCATCCAATCTTTGAGCAGGAAGATGTCCCATGTAAGCACAGGAATACCTTGTTTACGGACTGCATTAATACAGAATATTTAGTAAGCTGGTCTTAAGCTGATGTACTCGATTTAGTCAGTTTCTTCAGTTGCGTAGTGTGACTAGGGTCCTTCTTTTGCCCTGAAATCTCAAATTATGACTGAAGGCATCTACAGAGCACTAACTGATCTCAAAAGGAAGATCACCATTGTTTCAATACCACTGTCTTTGGTGATTACTGCAGGAATGAACTTAAATCTTAACAGTTAAGCACAATGAAGACATTACTGAGACATCCCTAAATAGAAACGTATCGGTGCTGTTGTAAAGTTGTCGAGCGGAAAGGACACACTGCTAACCCTCCACTTTAAAACACCAGACACGACGAGAATGTAAGCAAAGAGAAGACAATGGAATACCCAGAAGCTAATACAAAGCAAATACTGTAACACTCAAGAACTCACTACTGAATCCTTTATTCTAATCTGACTTTTGCTTTTCATTGTTTAATATTAGTTACTTGTTAGTGTTGACATTAGTGCATATACTGAAAATAATTGTAACAGCCAGGCATTTTTAAACGACTTTCTCCCTTTACATATTCTAAGTATACATTTTTATTTATAGGAAAATTAACCTATACAACTGGGAAGAAAATGGAAGATATCTCCCAGGAGACATATATAACATACTGATTCTTCTTGTCACTTTTTGTAGAATATATATCCATGTAAAATTAGCAGAAATGCTCTGTCTAGTGCAGACAGCATTTAAATTTCACATCAAAGAAAAAGACAACTTATTTTAAATAATATTAATTTGGTTTCATGGTTCTTATTTTCAAGGAGAGACCAAGTCTCTGGTTTGTTAACCATTAAAACACATTGCTATTTACTTATATGTCATCATTAGGAAAAAATTGGCATGCTTGATTCCTATCTAGGAGGACAACTCCATCATTCTACATGTATTTAAGGAAGGTAAGTAATTATCTCATTATACTTAACATAAGTGTATTCATATTGTCAATGTTTAAAATGATTAATGATTCATTTTTCATTTATCAGATGATGATTTTACTCACTGTTTGCATCAAGCTCCATTTTGAGCAATGTTAAAAATCTATAGATGGATAAATTTTATTGTTTGAATACTGGAAGTATATAGGCAGGTAAAAATCAAACACTAAATCCTGAAAAGACAAAGATAGATATGAAAAGAAATTTATGAAACCTGCTTTCTAACTTGTGTCTGAATAATTTTATTCACAATGCTAGTATTATCTGTACTACTCAAATAAACCGTATCTTTTAAGTTTGTAGAACTATATCTCCATGTTGTAAGAGGAAAAAATCGTGTTTGTTGTTATAATTCTCAAGCAGTTTTTCAACTTTGAAAAACTTAGCTACCGAACTGAAATGCATCTATCTATCTATATTTACAGTGAAATGAATTAAAAAAAAAATCCACACAAGTGGGTACAAAATCTGTCTTTGCACTTAAATTCTAGTTACAGGCTACAGACTTCAGTTAGCTGAATGATCTTGAATATCTGGTCGCAAAACTGATATTTGGATTTTACACTGAAAATTATTTTAACACAGTTTATATTTAAGTTTTTATACAGATAAACCATAATTGTGAGTTTTAAACTAACCTGAATTTAAGTATCACCTAAATGGAAATTATGCACATTTTTACAGATCTGAACTTCATTTCATGTCACTGCTGAAAAAAAACTAGCATAGGAATGTATCAGATGCATTTTGTGATACTAAGAACATCCTGGTTTAGATTTCTGTCTATTAATAGTCAAGGATGCACAGTAATATTTACTGAAGTGGCTCATTTGCCAGTAGATGGAATCTTCCTACAACTGAGCAATATGCAATCATGTTTCTTTCCAAATGATTCACCTATTTTGCAGGAAGCATTCACAGATGCTGTCATTAATGTCTCTGTATTAAATCTGTTCCCAGGTGAACTGCTCTTGTCTGTTATTTAAAAATATAACCCTCCATTCACGGGCACACTGTTATTGCTATTTAATGTAGGCACTGCTACATTTAAGTACCAGCTTATATGTATGTAAGTACCAATGAATGTTCCTTCTACTGTTCCTGATACGGATATTCCTCTTGCTAAATTTATCCAACTTGTTCTGGTGCTTCAGCATAACTTCATTGTAGTGCGTTTGTAGTGCCTCTTTTCCAAGTCATGTTTTCTCAATGAGCTCATAGAATTATCAAACTGATGCTCTATAGTCAGTTACCCAAGCCTATCTAGGGATTCAACAGAATTTGATAAAAAATGAGCCACAAGTTGATAAAAAACCCTTCAAATTTTCAAAACAAACACACATACGTCCAAAATAATGGCATACCTAATTCAATCCCATTCACGTAATCTTCAAAATAATAGTGTTTCTTGAACAACTTTGGGTAAAAAGAAAAATCTCTTCCAGATTTACTATCTACTTAATTTTATTTTGGACTGTGGTAAAAGGCCACCTACCCAAAATGTTTCCTATCCACCTGCCAGCCTGCCCACCTGTGCAAATTGCACTGGAATCAACTTGTTCAGGCAGCTGGAAAAGGAATCTGATTCAAGATTAACAGACCTTTTTCTTTTAGCCCTCTATTTCTTGTATAAGAACATAAAAAATATTTCAGTTTTAAATTAGTATAATGATAAAAATTCATCTGCTCCATTATGAAAACTAGAGAAAAGGCTGCTTGAAAGTTGTCAGAATAATCTCTTGCTGTGCAGCTGTATGAACTGACAACATGCGTGTACAGTGATTTGATCACACACCATCTACACAGAGGAATTCTTTTAAGGGGCTATGCAGCAGTACCATGTTTACATACCTATGTAAATAAAGCTTTCTAAAGAACAACTAAGTATCAATTTTCAGTTTTAAAGGGAAACAGAGTAATGAAGTTACACCTGGTAAAAAGACTCTGCATTAGTGACACAGGGAAAAAAAAGAGGTTAAGCAAGGAGCTTTTCCACAAAGTACCTTGCATGCTCCACAGCAAATTCTCACAGTAGGTGCTTTATTTATGTCTTATAAATAACCGGTAAATAAAGCATTGAATTTGTAATAGTTGGTGCTTGATAATGTGAATAACTTGACCCTTCTCTATGGTAATAAACTGGTGTAACCTCACTGGCATGAAAGCAGCAATGTTATTGGGCACCGACTGACAGCCTGACCCTTTGCTGTTGTATTTTACATGCCACGTGC